ATCACTCTCTGTGCTACAAAACAATACTGTATCATTAAAAGCTGTACTTATGTTTGTCTATGTGATTTTGGAAAAATTAGACTCAATATTAGACACATATAATGTATGTTTAAAGCATAAATCTTTCATGACAATAAAGAACTCCTAGTAGAAAATATTACCACAAATGCCTCTTTCCCTCTTATACACAACAGAACAGAACCAGAGAGAATTAGCATTAGCTAATGATATACAACCATATGGCAAGTTTATAAAATCTAATTGTTTAAAAAAATTAATTATAATGAATAGTTGTTAATCCTAAACTGTAGAAGATGTAGCAGTAGCAATGACTGAGGTTTTTTTGTACAATCTATTTTAAATGTCTGTCCTTCCCTCATTGGTATACAAAGAGTCTATTTTAAATTCCCTGTACTTCTTTCGACAAAAAAGCAGTAACCAAAGATTCAAAAAACTGAAAGTATATTAAAAACTATTACTTAACAGTTGGGCAAATGGATTTTTTTCAAATTCCAAAAATATTTACAAAGCAATATTTTATAGAAAGTCTTGATTTCACTGATCAACTACAATACATATTCAGGGAAGCCTGAAATAAAAACACATCAAAAACTCCTTATCACAATTATTTCATAGCTAACACATTGAGGTAGGGGAAGCAAAAGAATAAATATGCTCTAAATTGTTTTCAATTTATTAAGTGCCGTACAGTCAAAACTTTAAGAAATACTAAAAAACAGGAAGAACTATATAATTTTTGTCTTTAACTTCAGGAACATATTAGTCAGTATGATAACCTTGAAAGATGCACTTTGTGTATCAGAGATTTCCATTATAAGAAAGTCTCATGCATTCCTTGTCAAAATTAGCAATGTCTCAATAAGAATGGAATACTAATAGAAACAAATACATGGCCATTTCACATATTTTACAAGAAGCCTTTTTTAAAAATGCATGGACCCAGCTTATAGTCACAATACAATTGCAGTTCAAGCTATTTCATTCTTTATTTGTTAAATTTATATTGTTTTTTTCCACAGGCACATTTATTTTATTCATCAAATTTTGAAACTACTCATTTCCTCAGTCTACAGAGGGAGGCTACAAGGAGATCTCCCTCTGTTGTCTGTTGGCCATACAACAACAACTTTATTGGACAGGCTTCACTGAAGGGATGAACCTGGGTCTTCCAAGTTGTAATTTAACAACTTAACTACAATACAACATTGACTATTACTTCAAAAAATTATGTCCAATCCCAAGGAAAAAAAACTTGTTGCATTTAAAGTATTCCTACATATGTCAAACACATGTGGCCTAAACCACATTTTTGCCCTTTCAATTTTTAACTCCGTACTGCCTTATAAAATGAACATAAATATTCACACAAAGCTAACAACCAATCATTTTTTGTCCAAACCATCAAAACTGATCTCTCCATAACCATTTGACTTAAAACAATTCGTTACACTTTTAAAACAAAAACAAAAATTTTCCCCCAGGGTTAAATTAGACTTTTTGTGCTTTTCAAAAGACTGAACAACAACTCAGCAACTATGATACTTTGTTCCAGTTTACTGTAATAGTGGATAAAATAACAAGGAGTTAGGTTCAAATATTAACACTTGAAAAACAGTCTAAACAATGTTTGATTAGCCTATATTACCTGACTCAAATCATTCACACCCTCCACATACTTCACCATTTATGAGTTTCAAGGTTCAGGCAGTGAAAAAAACAATTGCTTTTGCCAGAACAGAATAAGGGCAGATATTCTGCCTTATTGATACTTTATTAAACTTACATCTCATGTTTCCACCAGGAATAGGCAAATAATAAATAAAAATAACATTAGAATTTTAACTTTTCAGAAGTTTAGTTCAAGACTTCATTGGGCCTTACTCATATTTTCATTTACTTCTTGCTCTACTTCTGGTACCACCAAGTATATTTAATTAATAAAGTAGACAAAGTATCATTAGCACTCAGCTTCAGGACTACAGCAGCAAAACATAGCTACTATCCTCCAAGTCGGCATTAATAATCTTGCCAATGTATAATTAAACTTTACAGGCTGAAACCCTGCATTTAAACAAAATGTACATCCTCTTTAGTTAAAAATACAGGGTTGCAGTATCCAATCCAAATATCCATTACAGAAGAAGGGAAAGGCAATTTTTGCCAATTTCCTCTTCTGAGAATCAGTCCCAAGAAACTGTGGGACACTTTAGTATGAGAGTCAAATAGGGTAGTCAGATAAAGATGGAATAGGCTGAAATAATATTACTACTCATTTCCTCCAGTGGAAACCCTAGCGATAAACCCCTTCATGATGGAATGCTATAAACTTACAATGGTGCTATAAAGCTTCACCTCTCTAAAAAAATTTAACATTTTGAATTACAATGATAGAAAGGATCCTGCCAAGCACAGCCTTGTTACACAATTTGCAGATTTACAGGAAGACAAAAAAAAAAGCACAAGGAAACAACTTGGCAAGACTTCTGAGTTACTGAGAAATTCAACAACTATTTCCACATTTTGCTTTTTCCCAGCTATGACCAATATTTGATGCAATATTGTTATTCAGAAAGCCCCAAATAAACATTTCCAAAAAAATAAATAAAAGGAAATGTAAAGCCTGTTAAAAAACCTTTCTGTAGAAGATCTCCCACTCCCAAATTCCATATGTTCAGTCAATTTTTTTCTTCCCAACTCTGGAATTGACAGCGAGATATAGTTGTGCTACACAAGAAGCATAAGAGGAAAGATTCCCAGTTTGTTTCTATCTTCACCATTAAGAATGTGGCAAAGACCAAAAGGTATTAAATTGATAGTATATGTTATCCATAACTATCAATTATGAGCACACAATACAAATCTTTATCCAGACTTTTTGCTGTACCTGCTCAAGTTTAAAATCAAGTTTAAAATTTAATATGCCCTAGATTTGCAGTAATCATGTTTAAAACCCATCTGCACTAAATCTATATTAAATAACTATTTTGAAAGAATCACAGAGGTCCAAAATCATTTATTGCCTTTTTTTTAACTTCAAATTTGTCACTAATTTCTGTGCTGATGGAGTAAGAAGTAAGAGTGCTCTTGTTAACAGGACATGATGCACACATGCTAGCTAATCTTTCAACTCAAGTAAATCCTCAAGATACATGCAAATACAGAAAATCCCAGGCACCCATTTAGTCTTTGACATAAACTGATTTGGTTAAATATCTAAATCATGTAGAAACTTTAACAGGATATTGTAAATTCAATACAAAAAATAGCATGAATACATCCATATTAATATATTATGTTAAATTTATTCTATAGGAATACAATATATACATTTACCTACATATACCAAAACTATTATTAGAAGTGACTTGATAGAACACAATACAGAAATATATATTTTAAAAAATCAAATAATGAGAATGTAAACCACTATTGAAGAAATCATCAACTTACTACAACTAATAAGACTGTTGGGAATTAAACATCAACTTCCAGGCCTTAATCTTACTTCTTTCCCATATGTTAAAATAGAATAACTACAAGGAATAAATTAAAGCAAGGAGATGTAGAGTAATACTGTAAGATTAATGATCAATATAACAGTATAAATGATAATAGTACTGTTTAATACAAAAAGTACAAGAGCTTACAATTAAATGTTCACAAGTATTCAAGCAATATCACCATTAGATAGCATCAGGTTTTCACTTGCATGTTTTGAAAAAATATGGATGAAAAACAGGCTTTTCAATGTGAAGCCTAAATAAGCAATGTAACCTTTATACATATTTACATAAAAGTCTGACTCAGAATTGCAATTTAAGCAAATTCAGAGTATATTCTATCTCTACAGGTTGACATTCCTATCAAACAAGCTCACTACAGGATCTACTGTCAGTTTCTGTTCCAGCAACCAACTACCTGATAGATACAATTAGCAAATCTTACATAAAGCCTCTCAGGAAACGCTGTGGTGGAAATTGATTTCTTCCTAGGTTTACTAATCCAATAACAGACTTACTTCCCCCCCCCTCTTATTACTTACACCTTATTACAAAACCGAAACTGCACGTGAATTCCCTTTAGAACTTCATTTTTAAAAGCCCAGATTTTTGTTGCAGCCTAATAAAACAAAAGATGTTATCCAGAAATTTTCTCTTTAAAAATAATAACAAACGAAGCCACAGGAAGCCCCGCTTTCTTTCAGAGAACCCCATCACCCAAGTGAGCTGCAGATTGAGACACAAAGAAACCGAAAAGCATTCCACTTCCCACTCCACCCTCTTACGAGTGTATCTTTCACATAATACTTGTTTTGTGAAGTCAGTCAGCCTAATGTTTTCCCCCTTCAGCCATATAGCCCAGCGGAACAGCTCCAAGAGAGCGAGAATCCATCTCCGTTGGCTTGACGTAGACCGTCCTCCAGGAAGTGCTCCAAATCGGGCTCTTCCACGCAAAAGCTTCGTCCAGACAAGTTTGCAAGTTTCCCAGGCGAGGGGGGATTTCCACCACCCCGCCTTCCCTTTAAGCAAAGGGGAAGAGAACTGCGGCCCCTTTCCACTGAGGACGACTCCCCTTAACCCACCCGCCAGCCCACCCACCTTCAAGGCTGGCAAGGGCTTCACAGAGGTTGACCTTCACCTCGACTCTCCAATCCACCCTTGACCTTTGCAAGCCATCCTCCGCTGCATCCGCCGAAGGAGAAGCCCCTCCAGCAGTCTCGCCCTTCCCAGCCGCTGGAAAGCAGGTGCGCTTGAGCCGCCTGGCCAGGGACCAGCCGAGCAACTCTTGACTGTGGCGCCCCAAACAGCCGTCTCTCCGCGTTGACCGTCTTACACCCGTTCGGGTAACAAAGAGCCAGGAACCGAAAGGCGGGGGCGGGGGGGGGGAGGAAGAGAGAGGGAGGCGCCTTCAAGACCCTTCCACCCCCGCCGCCGAGACACTCCTCCTCCACACGAGTCAGTCGCCACCGAGCTACTCACCCAGCGGCCGCGGCAGTCCAGCTGGTTCAGAATTGGGCAGCTGCACCCCCCCAATTCTACGGAACCGGGAGCCCGGGTTGCTGCAAGGCCTTGCGTGCCCTTGGCTGCCAGGCGCTGGGGCGGTGGGAGGGGGGGAAGGAGGGAAACGGAGCCGTCTCCTCCTGCCGCAGGGGCTCGCGGCCGCTGCAACCAACATTCACGGCGGAGGAGAGCCCTCCCGCGCGCCAAAGGGGAAGGCCGGCCACGGAAACGTCCTGCGTTCGCCCGAAACCTCCCCCCCACCTCCGCGCGCGCGAGAGAAGGCGCCGCTTCCTCCGCCTGGTCGCTGGCTCGCTCGCGCCGCTGCTTTGCCTGCTTTGCCCTCCCCGCTCACTCCCTTTTCAACTCTCGGCTGCTTCTCCGGCTTCGCCGCTGCCAGAGAAGCAACAGCCTGGCTCCGAGGTGGCTCCGCCCACTCTGTAGCGCGAGCGGGGCCTCACGCGCCGGGCCTGCCGAGGAGGAGGAGGAGGGGGGGGGGGGAGGAGGCGGCCCTTAAGCGCGCGGGGTTAAAGGGGCGGGGAACGGCGGGGGGAAGGCCGGGGGGGGGGGGGGGGAAGGGGGGGGGGGCGGGGGAAGCCGTGGCTGAGGCGGGGCCTGGCCAGCGAAGCAGCCGGCGCCTCTCTGCACGTGGACTGCCAGCGTTGCTGCACGCTGGCCCTTCTCCCCCCCCCCCTCCACGCCCTCTGCCCGCCACCGAGTTGAGGGAGCAGGTTCCCTTCACGAGGATCGAGGGTAAACCAAAGAAAGCGGCGTTTTTTTTAACTCGGCGCGACGTGCCTGCCCCGTTTTGCAATTCTTTGACTTTGAGACGTTCTCATAAAACATTCCTCCTCCCTTCTCTTCTTGTCCAAGGTAAGCAAAACTGGGGAGATGCCCCTTTACGTGGGTCTGCACCGACTCGGGAGAGGTGCTTTTCAGTGCAAAATAGCGTGGTACGTAGCTGACACTTCAAACTTCGTTTTGAAATCTTCCCGAGGAAGATCCCAACCCTGATTTATTTATTTTTTCCCCTGTCACTTCCATTCCGCGAGGAAAAACAACAACAACCAAACACCATTTTGCAAATAGAAAACTTTCTTTGGTGTACAGGACTTTCTAGAGCACTATTTTGTTTTATTTTTTTTTACTTGTGGCAGCAAAGGCAAAATTGGAACTGGGCTACTCTAGTTGTTTATCCTTTCGTCTGCCAAAAATCTGCTTATTTTTCATTCGGGCCTATCTCATATTGAATTGTTTTCAAAATGAGTATAAAATGAGTATAAAACAGAATGAGTATAAAATGAGTATAAAACAGAAATTCGGGTTTTGCTCCAAACCTGGAATAAACCATTGCAAGGAGTTCCAATTCTGTTTCAGATTAGCAGAAGTCCAGCCTGTTCCAGGTTTTGGCTGAACAAGATAGTGTTAGAGCCCCTCCCAGTGGCATCCACTGCAATTAATTAGGAAACCAAGGTGATGTGTGTGATGATGTTATGATAGAGAGATGCCTCCATTATATACTTTCTGACAAGTTATTACATTGCAAGAGGATGATAAGCACATTTTTGTCATATTGCCCCCTGCCTGCCTCAATAGAGGCCCGTTAAGCTCTCCTCTTATCCTTTATCTGCCAAGAAACAGCCATTTGGATAAGAAGGGGAAGCCTACTCTTTAAAATCAGTAGAAATAATTGCCTGTTTTGTTTACTAACTTTGCACTTTTCCAGACATGAAACAAATGCTAGAAATTTTCCAAATGATTCTGTAAAATGGAAAAAAAATGTTTTAGTGATGAACATCTATGGAAATTCTCAGTCATCCAGGTCATAGTTGTCTCAGAGATGCTTTTTCAAAAGGCAACTGGACTTTCTGGTTTTTTTCTTTGAAGACATTTTGCTTCTTCAGCTCTCTCCCAGTTTTAATGATGAACTACACCATTTTCTGGGTTTGTTAGCATAGCCAGACATGCTATCCTGTCCAGCTCACAGGATCACAATAAGACTCACCTCTTGCCTAATACTGGCCACAAGCCTGATTATTTTGGCTACCCTGCGTTTTTCCTGAAGAGATAGATTCCACTCCCCATTGTATCCTTTCCTATATTCTGTCATCATAAAATGTGTCTGTGTTCTTTGAGTTAGGATGAACTTCCTTTCACTGACTTCAATGGGAAGGCAATTTCTGGTGTCATGTAAGCTCTAGTTATGCTACCATAAAAGCATGATCTTTGATTAGAGGGATATAAAATACTGCCTGAAACATGTTCCTCCGTCTGCCTCTCAAGTTCTGCCCCCAGCTCCCACCCTATTGTTGTCTGTCTCAATTGACAGAATGTTCCACCAGCATACTTCACTAATTGTCACATTGTCTTATCTCAACTTCCATCTCATTCCTTCCTCTCCTAAAGTTTTTCAGCTGGCAGACCCTGAATAAATCTAAAACTTCAACATACTAGTGAGCAGAGCCTTTTCGGCATGTGATGATTTCAAAATAGCAAATCATACTATTAGGCAAGGGTCTTCAAACTTGGCAAATTTAAGACTTGTAGTCTTCAACTCCCAGAATTCCTGAGCTAACATAGTCATGGAGAAGGAGGAATTCTGGGAGTTGAAATCCACAAGTCTTAAAGCAGTCAAGTTTAAAGACCCCTGCTATAGGTGTGATTTCAGTCTTCTCAGAAAAGGGCAATGTATCATAAGATGCCATAGAAACCAGAATGCAGAACTAGGTTCTGATAAAAGTTTGATTTTTTGTACACGATTTGAAATTTTTTTTTGAAAACTAGCCATCATTGAGAGACGCTATGACCATACTGTATCCCAATTCTTGTTTGTCAACATTGAGTGAATACCTACCGTATAAAAGACTCAGTTGGTAACCAAGTTCTTTCTGCAATCACAACCACCAAACAAGTTTATTTTTAAAACAGTGTGGTCAAAAGATGCAAATATTTCTTACCTATGTATATTTGCCTAAGATAGTATATTTGAATGGCTTTAATTGCTTAAATGAAGGGTGGGTCTTACCAAGAAAACAAGGGCATACATTTAAAGAAAGCCACGTCTGAATGATTAATATGGCAGATTTTTTTTTCAACATTTTTTGATGATAGGTTTTTCTCTCTCTCCTCAATTATAGTTATTGTGAGCCAGAAACCCAGCTCAAAACAACAGTTCTGAAGAAATGGGGAATTATTGTTAGAACAGTACAAATGAGACATGCGTCATTACAAGACAATTACACCTTTCAAGGTCAAAAAAAAGTCTCCCCATTATTTTACAAAGTCTGATTTTCTAAATGGGGGACTGTATTAAGAAAGAGCTGTAGTACCAACAGCCTCCTTTCAGTAATCCATTCCTTTGACCAAAGAGCAAGAGAAACAGATGGGACTGTGAGGCATGTTTGCTAACCAGGAGTGGGAAAAAATGATCCAACTAATTCAGTAGGCTGTTTGCAATCATATCTCCTTAAGAAGAGCTTAGGTATATAAAGTGAGGCTTATCTTGGAGAAAGAGACTCAAAACACTCTTAAGGGAATTGGTATTCATTCAACTACCCAGAGCAAGTTATATCAATGAAAACCTGCTGTATTATACAGGTAGTCCTCGATTTACGACCACAATCGAGCCCAAAATTTCCATGGTTAAGCAGGACAGTTGTTAAGTGAGATTTGCCCCATTTTATGACCTTTCTTGTCACAGTTGTTTAATGAATTACTGCAGCTGTTAGTAACACAGTCTTTGAGTGAATTTGGCTTCAGCATTGACTTTGCTGGTCAGAAAGTTCCAAAGGGTGATCACATGACCCCAGGACACTGCAACCGTCATGAATACATGCCAGTTGCCAAGCATCCAATTTTATATCATGGGACCATAGAGACACTGCAACAGTCATAAGTGGGGAAAAACAGTCGTAAGTCATTTTTTTCAGTGCCGTTGTAACTTTGAACAGTCATTAAACTAACGGTTGTAAGTCAAGGACTACTTGTATAGTGTTTGTTATATTGTTTCTTTATATTTCAGTCTTTACCAGGGATGCACAACTAAGGGACCTCTATGGCTACAGAATGCCATAGAATGGAAAAATGAAAAATATTAAATGCAAGGAGAATAATTGAAATCAGTATTTGATCTCTGTAAATTAAAATAAATGAAATAAAAAAACCTATTTTTTGTCTTCATTCAGTCCCTTTTGTCTTGTGACTCCATCTATTGTTTGAGATACAAACCATAGCATGCTGTTCTAAAGCTAAGCAAGGCCTCGGAGAGAAAGAAATTGCACATATCCCTTATTTATCTTATCTACTCCAAGAACTGACAGTGACCACCCCTAGCTTCTCTTTCATTCCTAATGAAAGTAGTTAAAAATCTAATTTGGACATTTTAAATTCAAAGCTCCATCACTGACCTGAAACCTTTCTCAACAGAGCCATAGGGTGTTATGTAGAATATACTTTTGTTATTCATTTTCTAACTTTTGGAATAATTTTCTGACTGCAATTGAGAACATAAAAGGTTTTTTGTGTGTTTCAAAATGTATTTTGTTTAATCTTCCAAATCACTTTTTTTAATCATGGTAAATGCATACATAATACATATATAATGGTGTCCTTAATTCCAGCGGTAATGCAAAAAATATAGTGAAGCAGTGGCTCACAGGAGTAGTCAACCTTAAAAGAAGTTGGATTTAGCATAGGACAAAGGAACAATTACGCAGTATTCTTACCCATCCAAACCTCAACAGCCTCCAGGCACTGGGAGAGAATTGCAATGGTATCACTTGATTGGTCCAAGATAGAGATGTATAATTAGGTTATCATCAATATATTGATGATACCCTGCTCATGTTGGTAAGTGATCTCCCGCAGTTACTTCATATAGATGTTTGGAGCAAGGAGAGGGTATATAAGCCCCACAAAGAAAGGACCTTGGGCTTGTCTCCCACCAGCCCCAGCTGGGACGAAGAATCCACTCCCAATCTCCTCAGCTGGTCCAGAAAGTGCAGCTCTACTTAGGAAGATTTACTCTAGCAATTTTGTTGTTGAATATGGACAAGAAATAAGGGCAAATCTGCTTCTGTTAAAAAGAAAGGATTTTTTCTACTTTTCAAACTGGCAGGTGGTTTCCTAGGCTCTTGATTATAATAAACTGCACTTCATATGCATTTGGCAATCTTTTATACACCAGCTGCTTTCTGGGTTCCACAAACAGCACCTGCAAACATAAATTTGTAGCTCAATTGACAGCTGC